TTTTTTTTTTTTTTTTTTATCACTATTAATTTAAATGTGTTCGTATTTAATCGAGCTTAAATGGTATCTTGTATTAAAGGTATAGAGTCTGATCCACATACTTTTTCAAATTTTAAATAATTAAAACTTCCTTTTCCATTGTTCCATCTTAAAGAAAAAAAAATAAAAAAATCATCATTTGTTTTTGGAGTTGAGTTTTTCATTTTAAAGCAAAATTATTATATTTTAGAGTTTAACATTTAAGTGGTTGATTTTTCAGTATAATGTGCAACATTTAAAACACTATTGTGCATGATTGGAGACATAGTTGTGCACTCTAAATAGCAGCTCCATGTAACGTAAGTTATTTTTTTGGTTGAATTCAAAAGGTGGTGTGTTTATTCAAACTAAGTAGAATTATTCACTCCGCTATCGTGAAACATTGAATAAACAATTGTGCAACATTTAAATTGTGATGTGCAGTATTGTGATATACATTGTGCATTTAGTGTTTAATTAATTATGTTAACTAATTAAGAAACATGTAAAAAGATAAGGTTATGTCAGTTTCACATACATTAATGTGCACTTCGTCTAACACTATGCATCTTGTAGCGCATTGACATAGTGGTAAATCTACTAACTTTTAATGTGTATATCCACAGTGCTATTGTGCATTTCACATCACATTATTGTGCAATTATTAAATTATATATTTGACATATGGACTAAATTTTAATATATACTGAAACTTTATGAAATTTTTAATCCAGGACTTATCAAATTTCCAAATTGAAGCCCCACCCCCGTGAACTTCGCCCGACCTTGTCGAACTCACTGATGCTTGGCGGCCCTTTGTCAATTTAACTATCCTTTTTTTTTCCCTGAACGATAGGCAATACTCATGAAAACATAAAATCAGAAGATACATCCGAAGAGCTAACTGCTCTTAGAGAAATACTCACCTACCCACGGTGGGCACATGTTAATATGCCCACCGCGTAGGTGGCATGCACTCATTGGTGATATATTTTTTAAAACTTATTAACATCACCAATGAGTGCATGCCACCTACACGGTGGGCATATTAACATGTGCCCACCGTGGGTAGAGGAGCATTTCTAACTGCTCTTATACTAACACAGGGAGCACCACAATAGATTGTGGCAATTGTAGGAAACAAACCAAACCCAACACTATTAAAGTTAAAGGCAAATAGTAAACAAACAATAATACAAAATCCAATGCAAGACCTCCATTTAGAACTATAGGTATAGAACTTTTGGGTACATCCTCCATTTGGGAAGCAGCAAACAACCTTCTTGAAGAAAGATATGAAGGTATCTGCACACCCACAACAATTCTTTTTAAGAAATTAAGATGAAAACTCAACTCGCTGAGAAGATATAATGGTGAATTCTAAACATGATTAACCATTTCAATCATTTGAGGTAAACTTCACAAATATACCAAAGCGGCACAAAACAAAATGCATCAAAACATTGCACCCAAAATTTTCTCTCTTTTTCACAACAGGAACGAGCCCATCGAAACTTACAATTTATGAGAACCACAAAATGACGAATAATCAAAAGCAAAAGATAAGAACCCCATCCCTTATGGCCTTGGGAGATAACGGGTCTATCTCATTCAAATCCATTGTCGAGAAACACCAACAATATTCAAAACAGTCTCACTACCCATTTCTTTCTTCTTACACAAAACGTATCAATTAAATAAACAGGCAACTTTTTGCAAAATTAACAAGATGTAGCAAAAATCAATTAAAACATAGTAAGGAATTGGTATAGGACAATTTTTGTACATACCTTCAATTTCAGAATTTAGGTGAAAAAAACCATCTGCAATTGGACTGAAAACCAACGATCAATGTTGCAAGTGACGGCGGGTCACGGAGGACGTGACTTCGCTGATGAACTGAATATTGGATTACAGAAGACAACGGCGTCATCGGTGGGTGTGATTGAAGAGAGATATGAAGGAGGAGGGATGCGGGAAGGTCACGTGAAGATAGAAACAGTGTGGTCCACACGGTAAGAGGGATAATGGATGGGTGTTATGGCTCAGGTGACGTATATGAAACATAAAATGTCAAATCTACCCTTTGTTTGTGTAAAATCATTATTTAATTTTGAACGTTGGATTGTTAGATCTTGTGGCTACGATGTATTCTCATTTCTTTCATTGAGAATCATTCTCACCGGAACTCATCCCTATATATATATATTTTTAACCCACAACTTAGTTGAATTATGACTTATAATATATCAACTAAGTCCAAGTCCAATTTTTTTAACACACCCCTTCAACTCCCTTTTTCGTAAGCAAAAAAAAAAAA